TGTAAGCCGTTGTTTTCGTTTGTCTTGTTTGTAGAACTGTGTGAAATAATAACCATGGGGCCGATTGGAAACGATTGTAACTGTACACTGTTGTTGTTGTTGGTTTTTGGCTGTAGAGAAAATAACTGTTAGAATTGTGGCTGTTATTTTTAAATAACAAAAAAGTTTGATTAGTAATAAAAACTGTAGAAACTATGACTATTACCATAACTATTATAAAATAAATTAAAAAAAGTAAATTTTGCAGAATTTGCATTCGGATATTGGCATAGCGAATAAAATCCGCACAAAAAACTATATGTTGATAGTTTTTTATTAGTCAACATATTAATAAAAGAGATATCGATAAAAATAAAAGAGATATCGATAAAGACAATAAATTCTTTTAAATTATAAACTTTATGTTATTAATTATTAAAATTTATGATATTAGTCTATCCTTAGTCAAAGGATTATTGATCAACCATTTGGAGATCATGCAATTTCAATTTTTTTTTAACCAAAATCAATGTAAAATAAATGGTATCAAAATGGATCTCAAATAGAAGAGGAAAAAAAGTTATTAATTAATCAAGCAAAAAAATATAATGATACATTACAAAGAGATTTAAATATGGGTTTCAATCATGTTGAAAAGAAAAACAAAAAAAATTATGGTTTCAGATTTATTAATCCTACAGCCGTGTGTAAATTAAGGCTCATTTGTGTGACTTTAAAAGTGAAATTTTGAAGAACAAAAACAATACAATCGGTAGTTGGACTGTAGAGAAAAAAGAAGAGGATAAAGACTTTAAATTTAATAAAGTTCTTACAGTCCAAACCCCAAATTTATTAATAACGTTCATACGTGACTTTTAATTTTGATTTTACACTTAAAACTTTTATTTTTAAATAAAAGCTGTGACTTTAAAAAATAAAAAGAGTTAAAGCCATAATTTCCTTTATAAAAATGAGAGAAAATGGCTGTGAGAAAATTTATGAGAGTTTTTAGGACTTTTAATGCTTTAAAACTATTAAAGTTTGATTGGATAAATTATGGCTTTAAAATCTTTTTTTTTTTTTTAAATCTTCACAGTTTTAACGGTCAAATTGCCAATCACCCCCATATAATTTTTTTTTTTGGGTCAACGTCAACTTTTTGGATCGGGACTACACTTCTTACAAATAATTTGGTCTGCAATCCTATTTTTCTCCCTAGGGTCATACTGGAAATCTATGAATGAAAACAAGGGAATCATATGCCTAATATTCGAAGAAAACCAAAAATCTCCTTACTTGGAATCGTCGAATAGATACTTTGTGTGAAATGATTAGATGTATGTTTAGACGTCATGAATAATAGATTGATGAATCAAGTTGTAGTTATAAATTAGAATAAATTCTTCTTTATATCTAAAAGGTACAATGACGAATGTTATTGTTTTTATATTCGAAGTTGGTGCTGCAAACTACACCAGACACTTTGATAATGACCACCAGACCAAGACATTTACCATAATCGTGTCTGATCAATTATTATAATCGTTAATTGTAACGGTTTGATTAAAAAAGACTTGGGAAGTTTTATCAAAAAGAAAAAAAAGAAAGACTTAGAAGTATGAACGAGACCCTTAGAACGTAACAAACGGAAAACGTTGACACATCGTGTTAATTAACGAAAATATATTTAGCAGCCAGTCACACAGTACTGCCACGTGGAACAAAATTAAATTAAATATGATAAATTAGAGATTTCCACGCGTTGGATGGAT